GGTTTGTGTACCGAGTCGGGTTTCCCGTATGCCTCCGGCAGCTCCAACCAGAACGGCCAGTGCAAGAATTGCCAGAAGACCAAGGTCAACGTTGGCAAGGCCGTCGATATCCAAGGCGAGAGTGCGCTCCAGAGCGCGCTCGACAAGCAGCCCGTCACGGTCATCGTCGAGGCCAGCAACAACGTGTGGCGCAACTACAAGAGCGGCGTCGTGCAGAGCTGCCCGGGTGCGCAGTCGGACCACGCGGTGATTGCTGTCGGCTATGGTACCAAGGACGGTCAGCAGCACTTTAAGATCAAGAACTCGTGGGGCACGGGCTGGGGCGAGCAAGGCTACATGTACCTCAAGCGCGGTGTGAGTGGCAAGGGTATGTGCAACGTGGCTGAAGCGCCGTCGTACTCGCCGATGACTGGCAAGCCGCAGCCGACGTCCAACCAGCCGCAGCCCTCGAAGAAGCCGATGCCCCAGCCTACGAAGAAGCCCTTGCCCAAGCCCACCAAGAAGCCCCAGGGCGGCTGCAACGGCTGCAACGGCTGCTACTACCCCGCCGCGTCGCAGTGCCTGACGGCCGACTACGACAAGGAATACTGCGAATACCTCGCCGCCGAGTACGGCACCAAGTGGTGCACGGCTTAAGGCGCTACCCATGCTCGTCGTCTTGTTTGTGCGTACATGCCATTCGCTTGTTTCCATTTATACTTGTATTCCATTTTGATAATCGACAATATGCTACTAGTACGCTGTATGCATATTCGCAAGGCATAAAAATCATATTTTTGGACTTCAGATAGGCGCAGATATTAGCTAGCCTTCAGTACGCTTCAATATCGTACTTTGGTGTGAAACTTGTCAAGATCGTGCGTAGCTCTCGTGCGTTAAAATTGAATTACTCTTGATACTCGATATTGCCTCGGAAAACGTACTACTAGTAGTATGCATTTGAGATCGGGGACGATCTACCTGTCTTGTCCAGGCAGTCGAATGTACCGGTAGGGAGAAAATACCAACACGGTTCAATTCTCGCCGAGACTATGACCGTGCTAGTCTTTTCTTGCTAATATTTTCTTGTCATTTTACAAGATACGACCGCGCTTGCATGCGAGGCCGCATCTCTTGCAAAATGCCACGTCAAGGATGTGTAGCGTCCATGCGGAGTCGCTTCGCGGGTGGTCCAATCGGACGGCTGTTCGAGCCGTTTATGGCGCCTCTATGTGTCCATGGCACATACAATCACCAAGTGTGTCGGCTGGATCCGGATAATGCGTGCGAAAGACACGCTGTGTGAGCTTGGTTTTTTCGACTGGAGCCATGACATCATTACTCGAAACGTCACTTGCTTCAAGAGCATGGTCGCAGTTCCCTTCTCGCTGCCCAAGCGGTCGCCGGCCAAGTCGCCGCTCAAAACGATTTTGCTCACGAGCGCCATCTCGGGCGGCGTCTGGGGCGCTCTGCGTCACTACGTCGCCCAGCCCATCGAGCTCGACGTGCTGCAAGTCGTCCGCATGGAGCTGGAAGAGGGCGCTGCGTCGCGCCGAGCACGCTTCGAGTTTGATAAGCACAACCCGCAGCAGCAAGCCGAGGCATTCGACTGCCTCTACGAAAACACCGAGAACCAGCACGTCTTCAACCACTGGTGATCACGTCTCTCCCAATAGTGCACTCCATATTTAATGTTATCTTGGTTACTTTTGACTCTGCTCTCCAACACGAGTTTATACAATATATTCTATCGCAAACATCGCGCTCGTCCATCCATTGTCGGTGGTTAGAAGTCTCTCGTTGTATGCTCGTTCATGAACACTGCTCCCTGCATTCGATGCATTGATTGCGTGCGTCTAGGCGATTGACGCACAATGATGGCTCTGCAATCACGACTCGCAACAGCAGCAAGACACGGTACTTTTACGCCTTTTTGCATTTGTGCTGTGGCTTCTCGAGCACGATGGGCCCTTAGCCCGTTTCCAAGAAGTGGAAGAGGTTTTCCGCGCAAGGCCGAGCAATCTAGAAGTCCGATTCCAAGATCGCACACGTGACAAGATCCAAGGTCGAGGCGCAGAGCAAGCGAGCTCAAGCCATTTCCAAATTGGTAGTGTCAGTCAAATAACCAACCCGCCTCGCCCACCACTGGCATGGCGACCAACACGGTTGTTGCCCCCAAGTAGATCGGTCTTGATTGAGGAAATGTGCTGTGCGTGCAACCGAACGGCGTGCGGCCTCTTCGAGATATTAGTAAAGTATGTACTTTTGTTGGAGAATCCGCTCCCACCCTACTGTGCAATACCGGGTAGTTGGCTTGCCCAACAGAATTCAGCCCATCGTATTTGAAAGGCAAACTCTAAATTCATACAGGAGCCTGCGTACGACCTCGAGCGAGCTAACCCTCGGCGAGTGGGGTCCACCACGGGATGGATCTCTCCGTGCGCAGCTCACTCCCAACGACCAAGTGCTGGTGCCAACTCCCACGCATTCAGGCGTAGCACTACGTATGCGAAGTCTTTGAGTTAGTTTTTGTCTAATTTGTATTTCTAACGTCGAACTACGTTTGATTGATTGATTGAACTC